ACGGCCGAAAATTCATGCGCGCGCGGATGTCATCCATATAATCAAATCAACATGGCCTTATATCAATCTTCTCAGCAACAAAACGTGTTTCTTGCTGTCTTGCTACAGTCCCTGTAGCCAAGTCTAATATATCAATCCCCAACACAAAGTCATGTTGACTTTGATGATACACACGTCCCTATATCTAATCATAAGATGCTCAGAGCACCTGAGCACTTCTGTCTGTGTCTGGCGCCTCCATTACAAGTTCATTCAACCCAGGATGGCATTAAAGCCGACTGGAGGTGTGGTGTAAGAGCCTCTAGATCTATACAACACTCTTGTAGCAAACTCTGTAATGCAGGTGTTTATGTAAGTAAATACAGATAAGTAAGAAGTGGTCCATGTGCCACATACATTCACAGTTAGAAATGTCATCGAAATTGTGGGTGACTGTCTAAAATACAGAAGAAAAATGTCCAGACTATGCATGATGTACAAAATGACTAATGAACTGGTGGACATCCCGACTACTAAGTATCTATATAGCTAATACCAGCCCAGAAGAGGACAAGGAATATCCATGCCTTCAAGTACCAGAGTTATCAACCAAGGATTGAGGTGTTCAAGAATTCATTCTTTCCTAGAACTATCGCAGAGTGGAACTCTGTCACCAAGTACAGTAGGGGCATTATCATTAAACAATGTCTAGAGTTAGAAGTTCAAGGGTTAGGTGTAACAAGTCGATCGGTGTAATATAGCGAGCTGCCGCCGCGTGCCTGCGAAGCTGGTGTGTTACGCCGAAATGCGGTTATACCGGCTATACAGATACAGAAGCTGATGTGTTACGCCGAAAGGCGGTTATACCGGCTATACAGATACAGATGCTGATGTGTTACGCCGAAAGGCGGTTATACCGGCTATACAGATACAGAAGCTGATGTGTTACGCCGAAAGGCGGTTATACCGGCTATACAGATACAGATGCTGATGTGTTACGCCGAAAGGCGGTTATACCGGCTATACAGATACAGATGCTGATGTGTTACGCCGAAGGGTGGTTATACCGGCTATACAGATACAGAAGCTGGTGTGTTACGCCGAAAGGCGGTTATACCGGCTATACAGATACAGATGCTGATGTGTTACGCCGAAAGGCGGTTATACTGGCTATACAGATACAGAAGCTGGTGTGTTACGCCGAAATGCGGTTATACCGGCTATACAGATACAGAAGTTGATGTGTTACGCCGAAGGGCGGTTATACCGGCTATACAGATACAGAAGCTGATGTGTTACGCCGAAGGGTGGTTATACTGGCTATACAGATACAGAAGCTGGTGTGTTACACCGAAAGGCGGTTATACCGGCTATACAGATACAGATACAGAATTCTACCATTTTAGGTCGTCAGTGGCTAGGCTTCGGGTGACATTACTCTGTACCCTGCTCTTTCAAAAAAGACATTATGATAGTAAATTAGAGGCACCTGACTACCTCCCATTACCGTATTTTTAGCGTGTAATCGCCTGTGCGTGGTTAGGGAGGCCATTGGGTCTTCAATAGATTTCCTCTACAAACATGTTGTTGGTAGTCAGATACTGATGTAGATTGGCTATACTTGAAAACACTCGGGGAACTAGAAAGTAACACGTGGCTTTGATGAATGTCTTGAGTACCTTTTAGGCTCTTCTGATGGGGAAGTAAAGGAAGTGGTTTTCAAGACACGTGGCGCGCGTTATTGAACGGAAGTCAATGACCGACATGAGTTTGTATATAAGGGTTATTGAACTGCGAAATTGTGGTATTGCTAGATAGCCAATTCAAACTGACACTTTTAAGTTGGGACTTCAACGTTTTAACAATTTAAAATTGTTCCTTTCTAGTTCTAGTTTTAACAATTTAAAAATGGTAAAAAGTTGAAATCCCAACATTCCTACAAGACGTAGTGTGCGTTATAATGTTTAACATTTCTTGTGTTTTCAAATATAGCCAATCTACATCATTTGTTTTCCTTTAGGAAAAATGTAATTCTTTTGGCTCAGTTTCTTCTTCCTCTTCTTCTCCAAACAGTGATCTCTGACCTGGTCAATGACCTGCCTGGTTCCGTCTGTCACCATGGTGACTGATGTTGGGTTACAGAATGTTGCAATTTTATAGTAGCAGGGATTTATACTCCTGTCACCACATATGTAAATGTGTTTGTGTAAGAATTAACACAGCAGACCTTATGCGAAAGTAAACATCATGCATTTGCTTTGCAAATCTTACTTTTCTAGTATGGATGCACGGATTTCTTCTTAAAGAATTCAAGTCGTCGTTGCTGTATATCCAATATGCAACATGTAGATGGAGTCTGCAAGATGATTACGGAAGTTTTTTTCGATATGTTTGTTTATTTGTTTGTTTGACACAAGCATACAGACAAACACACTAAAGCAAAACCTCTGATATGCAATATAGAGAGAAAAATGGGATACAGTAGCTAGCTTGAACAATGAGTGAACAGCTTAATAGACCATGTAGTTACGCCATCTAGCGGAAGGCACACATAAATAACTGTGAACAGTTAACTGTGTCCTACCATTATCATTTTCAGTTCACGTTCAGTTAAGGAAAGGTTTTGCCACGAGCATTTGCTTGACTAACATCTTCTAAGCTATGGAACTCGTTCAGCACCAAGGACAGGTGCGTTTGCGTGCGTGGCTAGTGTTCATGTGTTTGTTTGTGTGTGTGTGTGCGTGTGTGTGTGTGTGTGTGTGTGTGTGTGTGTGTGTGTGTGTATGTATGTGCGTATATGTGTGTGTTTGTGTGTGTCTGTGTGTGTGTCTTTTGGTCTTGATGATGATGATGAAATGGTTAGATTTCTGGCTGTCTGCTATGGTACTAATGCTACAAGATTATAAACAGTAAAAAAAAAATCTTGTTCCAACCTGATTTTATTTTGGCAATGTACAACAACATTCTCTGAACATCAATGACAATGTTTCAATTCACACATCACTGGTATGTAACATAAAATTCAACTATTAATTATATGTATAATTATGTATTAGTTTACATCATTAGTTAAATCATTTATGAATAATATAGTAACATACATTAGTTACATTGTTGTGTGCAATTTACAAAATTTATAAAAAGTCTTGAACTTGATTATTGTTCTTCATAATTCATATCTCGGAATAAACATGGTAAATTATGCACATTTTCTGTACAAGTCTTTGGGTGAGACCCAACAATTTCAACATAACCAAGAACAATTGAAACGTACTATGTATAGATATATGTACATTATATAATATTGAAAGCCTATTAGAAGTACACGCCTTTCTACACACTAATACTGATAGAATACATATATCCACACTATAGTAAAGCTATGTATATATAGGGGGTGCTTATACAACCAGAACTTTTAGCTCATAGGCTGTTATGCTGATGTCACATTTCCAAACCGGGGCCCGGACGTGCTGTTTTGATTAACGAAAAATCAACAACTTAAATAAAAAATATACGCAAATAGTTCCCATTATCAATTATTTTCAGATTTTGTCTGCTTTGTTCTCTTTTATATCATACTTTTCGTTCCGTAAGACTGTCCGGCCGGGCCCCGGTACGGAAATGTGACATCAGCATTAGACATCAAAAACTATCCCCATGGCTCAATGTACTGTTACTTGGGTAAAACCTTTTTTTTTCCAATGCTATGTACATATTACAACTTACAGAGGAACTTTAGTAGTTCATCTTGTTTCTTTTTTTTTCAGAAATCACACAATAAGGTATATTACAAGCGGCAGAATATACCAACGCAGGTATAAACAAGCATGTTTGCTTTTTTTCTTAGCTTTCAAAGTTTTGCTGGAATGTATTGTCTACAAAGGAGCAAAATTTACTCAATTGTGTCTATGGCAGTTGGCAATAACAATATAATAGAGTAGTGATCATTATCTATAGTAATTACTCAATGTTTTGATGATCCTTGGCTTCACCTTGGAAACATTTTTCCTAAGTTCCTTCATGATATTAGGATTTTCTTGTACACAACCAGGGAATCTTCCTAGCTATGCTTATGTTTCAATGGCTATCAGACACCTTTCTTAGAGGTTAATAAAATGCTTCTTGCTGCTATATGTAGCCAATGTACATGTAGGAAGTTAACATTGATATGTAAGCAAGGTAGGAAGAATCCCTGCTTGTGTATAAAAATATCCTATATAATTTTCTTTATGTTGTACTAACCTGATCAAATAATTTTCGGTAAGTTTCTATGTTTTAAGAGAAACTAGGATATCGGCAGTGTATAGGACATGATACACTGACTGTCCCAAAGCTTTTTTAGACACTCAACAACTAGTTAGGGACAAAACTACGGTATATATCGAACACAACTCCACACTCTGCCAAATAATCATGGTAAATAAGTCACCCCAGCAGTGTCTAAAAGCCAATTTAGTGCCGGGGGCAACTTTGTAGTGTTTTACGATGTATTACTGACAGATACTAACCATTCATTGAAAGTCATATCAACTATAGTAGGCTCTATGAAAATTTTCGGCAAATGAAAGTCTGTTGCAGGGCCAATGTATTTGCAATGTTCATCTGGTATTTACTTCACTTCAATCTTAAGTTTAAGACGAGATTTTGAGATGACAGTGTGGTTACCTTGCCTTCTTAACAACACTTTCTAAAGGTGAACAAACAAGAAAACTTTAATTAAGGCAACTGGATAGATACTTTTCTAATGTATTCTATTACTATGTTTACGATTCATAAAAACAGGGCCTAAGGAAAAAACGTTGTGTTTCCTGTTTCAGCCCTGAAAAAAAAATATGATTGGTAGGTAGGAAATATTTTTTCTCCTTTTTTTAGACTTTGGTGGTCTCTACTCTAGTGATCAAACTTTTACAATGCAGTTTAAAAAGTAAAACTTGCATGATAACAAATTTTCAATGTCAATGTTGGAAAACCGTGTACAATGTTTCATTACTCAGGTGTCAGATCATGGAGCTAGAAAAGGTCAATCAGCTCGAAAAATGTATGTCCCTTGCAGGGGTCCACTAAAAAGGCTAGGGTCGGCAGTTTTTTTCTAGGGTCGGTCAGGAAACAGGAAACACAACATTTTGTTCTACCAGTTGTCTACAGTTGAGTTATGTATGATGTCTCCCCGGCCAATACTCCAGGGCTTACTGGTCCATCTGTGGTCAAAGCTGGGTTGTCCACTCCGTTTTTGACTTTGCCGTGTTCAACATCACCGTTTGTCGCTGATTTTCCCAACTCTTCCATCTCTTCGTCATCCTGTAAGTGATAATGAATGAATTAATTAATTTATTTATTTATTTATTAATGAATATAGTAATAAGATACGCCAAAAAAACAAGTTACTCAAGCATCTGGATATATTTTTGAAAACGGTCAGAAGAATGAATGAATGAACTTTGTTGCTCGACAATCGTACATGGTACGTTGTATGGAAGTAAAACAAAAATACTACAAATCAAACCTATCCTACAATTATAACTATCATCGACAACAATATATAGGTTACAATATAGTCATTGGTGATTTAGTCTCGCTTTTGGAATGAAGTATAAGATAGGGCAAATGATGTCTTGAGATTCAAAATCATGCTCAGCGGTATCCCATCTGCGGTCTGCATTTTGCAGAGACATTTTAAATATTGCAGAAGAAAAATTAGGCAACCTGCAATCTCTGCAGGCTGAAAAATCAGACTAGAGGCTCAATGGTGTTTAATAGCTTTTGTGTTTACTCTGACTCTATAATATACGAGTCATTTTGCATGTATTTTTCAAATTGCATGTAAAATGTTTGGCAACATGCAAATTTGTGTATGCCATGGGTTTAGATTCGGACTCATAAGTGTGTATTTTCAGAAAGTATTTCCAAATTGCAGAACATAATTTTTACATTCTGCAATATTGCAGAACACTGAAAAATGAGTAATGAGTGACAGGTACAGTTCTTAGTATTGGACATTTAAGAAATAGTCTCTTACCTTGGGGATTTCGTTATACGTGTAGAAATAGGACATAATGGCAAAGATGATGACAACAGCACCCATCAGTCCAGCAAACATGAAGAATTCAATAGCCTAAAAAATAGAGGTATCCAACATATCACGTGTGTTAAAAAAAGACACAAATGTTTTAGTACAGTGTTTGGCTCAGACCCAAGAGTTCCCGGGTTCAAATCCTGCCCGATGCCACCAATCTTGTGCCCTTGGGAAAGGCACTACTTTTCTCATTTCACTCAGTCTTAGCTTCGGTTACGGACGTTACTCGGATAGGAGTTATATGGAAGTCCAATGTCTGGTCTTACTCAGCTTTTACTTACATGTACAAAACTGGCGTTTTACGCTTAAAAAGGTCAGTTATCGGGTATGTGAAACAAACAAACAAACATCTACTAACCTGGTCTTCGATAAGCCTGGCCTCTGCCACGATCAACACGATCACGTTTCCAAAAGCGACCGTCAGTAGCCAGGCTGCCTGAAGCACTGACTTCATGCTCTTTGGGGCCTGGGATTTTTAGAACAAGTTAGATAGTGATAACAAAGCCTTCAGGTAGCCCTCAATGCCTCATTCAGCTCCAAAATACTCATATTTTGGCCCCAAAAGTTGAGAAAAGTCCTTGTCTTCCTAGCTGTTAGTTTTTCCATCTAACAATGCAGTGCGTGGATCACATAAAAGTTCAAAATTCATCGTTTGAATAATAACCTGACTGGTATGATTTTGTTGATTATATTGTAGCATGTGGAGCTATCATAGGATGCCTAGGCCTGTTTTTTTTCCCTGTCCCTTCAGATTATTTGCTGAAAAATCTGGGAACCAACAAATTCAACTGTTGTGGTCTAACTGTGATGTTAAATGTGAATGGAGGTCCCTTACCTGAGAGTAGGAGAAGTCGAGTCCAGTGACAGAGAAGAGAACCTCTCCAGTAGTGATGATGAAGTACTGAGGAATCTGGAACAGGATACTCATGGAACTGGGCTCAGCGTCGATGTAGCTGTTCACCTCATACTGGTGGAAGGGGAAAATAAAGTATTTATTCAGATATTCATGTACGGATACAGATTCATGCACCGATACAGATACAGATTTTCCGAGTCCCAACACCTGAGAGAGGAGGGTTGACACGGTGGCCTTCGCGTGGATTTGTTTAAGGTGGATAACAGGTGGTGAATCTGAGACCCACACACTTGGGCATCCGTCTTCTTCAGCGGCACCATATCTAGGGAGACGTGCTGGTTCTGGTTGGGATTTATTTTATTTATTTGTTAGTCTAAGTGTCTTTATCAAATCTTGTGAAAAATTCTATAAGTTACAATGCCTCATATACATTTATTTTCAAATCTTTAATATGCTTGTATATAGAGCAGAATTCCATGAAGGTTTCGATTACTTCGATTACAGGTTGTACATGTAATCATGTATTCAGAAACGGGCAAATGGCAACAAAACATTTCATGGGATATGTACATGTACATTAGATAGGCTTGAATCATAGTGATGATGATGAGCATTATGAACATTTCAGAAACAAGGACAGGACCACTGTTTGGTTTTTGTAGTTTTTCTTTTTCGGCAAACATTTTTGACAGTTTGTATTTTTATGTTGTGCCATGCTTTTTTCTGTGAAATGTATTTTTCCAAGCTTAATAAAATGAGTGTAAAAGAAGTCCTACCTCTGTATTTTTGTAGACGACAACAGTGTAACCTCCACCATGTTCAGTAGTGTAACCATCACCAACTGTCTCCGTCTGAGATTCACCAGAAGTATCCTTATACTCAAGCTTCACGTTGAATCTGGAAGAAAACATTTTTAATTGTTTTAATTTTCACATAAGTAAACTTCGTCAAAAAGGACTTCTTGTGTAGTGTGTATGACATGTGTGTATGACAATTTATACCATATTTAATCACCCAATTAACACACACACTCACACACACTCACATACATACAGCCATGCACACACTACAAACCTAACCATGAAAAACTTTTTTGCATTAAATACTGTTCAACCTTGTCCGCCAACCACCTGCTATCATTTACCACATCTCTCTATACATCTATCCATCCATCCACCCATCCGCCCTTCCATCCATCCACCCATCCATCCATCCTTCCATGCATCCTTCCATCCTTCCATCCATCCTTCCATCCATCCATACATCCATCCATACATCCATCCATCCATTCATCCACCCATCAGCCCATCCATCCATCCACCCACCCACCAATCCATTACTCCATCCATCCATCAATCCAGCCATCCATCCATCCATCCAACCATCCATCCATCCATCCATCCATCCATCCATCAATCAATCAATCCATCCATCTACCCATCCATTCTTCCTTCCATCCATCCATCCATCAATCAATCAATCAATCCATCCATCTACCCATCCATTCTTACTTCCATCCATTCACTAACACACCCAACCATCAGTACATCAACCCATTCACCCCAAAATAGGCTAGGTTCGGCAGTTTTTTCTAGGGTTGGTCAGGAAACACGACTTTTTTTCCTAGGCCCAGTTCCTGCAGCTACATTTTCTACAAACAAAAACATGTGGAAGAACTTCTTACTTTCCTGGCTCCTTGACGACATACTCTGTTGCCTTGTGCTGCTCGGCATCAAACGTGTGGTACACCTGGCTGGGAGCGTCACTGTTCTCAATCCTCACGGACACGTTATTACCGACCGTGGCTGGGTCAAGCATGAAGATCACCCTACAGAAACAGAAGAGACAACATTAGGCCACAGCAATTTGATTTGTTCATTCTCTGATTTTTTAGACAAAATATGAAGCGACAAGGCAAAAAAAACAGGCCTAGGCTGATCTTGATAATATTACATGCATGTATTTGTATATATATGCATACTACAATGACCATTTTTAGACATGATATATATTTCGTGTCGTAATTGTTACCTCATTTTTGGATCAGCCTTTTCTGGCTTATCCCACTCTGTGTGGAACTGTAAAGAAATAAAAATCACAAATGGTTAGATCTACGCGTTTATGTATATGCAATAAATTGAAGTTGAATACAATAACAAGAATTTAAGAACATACTCTGAACACTGAACACAAGATTCTTTGAAACAATCTCAAGTTTCTTTGAAACAATCTCAAGATTCTTTGAAACAATCTCAAGTTTCTTTGAAACAATCTCAAGATTCTTTGAAATAATCTCAAGATTCTTTGAAACAATCTCAAGTTTCTTTGAAACAATCTCAAGATTCTTTGCAACAATCCCAAGATTTTTTGCAACAATACCAAGATTCTTTGAAACAATCTCAGGATTCTTTGAAACAATCTAGAGATTCTTTGAAACAATATCAAGATTGTTTGAAAAAATCTCAATATCAGTCCTGGTAGTCTTTGCAACAATCCCAAGATTCTTTGCAACAATCCCAAGATTCTTTGCAACAATCTCAAGTTTCTTTGTAACAATCTCAAGATCCTTTGAAACAATCTCAAGATTCTTTGAAACAATCTCAAGATTCTTTGCAACAATCTCAAGATTCTTTGCAACAATCTCAAGATTCTTTGCAACAATCTCAAGATTCTTTAAAACAATCTCAAGATTAATGTCTAACCTCCAAGAAAGTATAGAAAGTAAGTACTTAAGGATTTATATAACAAACCTGTGATGGTGCAGAAAGTGCTCCATTATTATCTGTGATGATGACTGTGTTGAACTCCTGATCTCCCATGTCCACCTTGTAGGCAGTCAGACTTGTCTTACCGGTACAGCTGAAGTCCAGAGTGTGGTTACCCATCGGCACATCGTACAGTTTCTGGTCTCCCTGGAGATACAGTTGAAGCAAAGTCAAATTCCGTGAACACCATAATGATCAAATATTGCTACAAAACTATTGAAAATGATGCAGTTCAGCTCATAACTATTCTACTTGTCAAATGAGTCTTTCCTCCACAAGATATGTATAAAACATACTATTTTCAATGCCAGATAAATGTTATGGAGGTTAAGTATACAGCAATACATCACGGAACAAATAGTCATGTTATATTATTGTCTACATATTGGTAGATATTGGATATTGTGACTATCAAATTAGTTTAGATATCCAACTTCCCAACTTGAATAGAGCCTCAGGGTAGTATGATATCTTTTTTGAGGCAGTATGTTTTTGATTCAATGCATCTAGGGCATTCTTCTCCTTTCACCGCATTTAACCTCCCCAACCGAAGTCAGGTACCCATTTTACACCTGGGCGGAGTGAGGAAAGTACTGTTAATTGCCTTTCCAAAGGACACAACGTCTAGCCAGGAATCGAACGTTACCGCGTACCGAAGCAAAACATAATGTTTTTGCTCAGTTTCCTCTTCCTCTTCTTCTCCAAACAGTGACCTCTGACCTGGCCAATGACCTGATTTGTTGATGTCTGTCACCATGGTAACTGGTATTGGGTTACAAAATGTTGCAATTTTATAGTAGGAGACTCCTGTCTGGCCAGGAGAATTCTGCCATCATATATGTAAATGTGTTTGGGTAAGAATTAACCGAGCAGACCATATGCGACGGTAAACATTATACATTTGCTTTGCAAATGTTAGTTTTCTAGTCAGTTTTGTGTCTGGTAGCCTAGCAACCCAATACTTTGACACCAATTAAAAAGAAAAAAACAGGACAAACCTTGTAGGCAATTGGCTCAAAGGAAGGCGCATCAGTACCAGGGAGAGCAGGGTTAAAGGTCGGCTGGAGGTCACAGTTCGCCAGGTTGATGACACGAAGGCCTGAGTTTCCAGCCGCGGGTGGTTGTGGGTAGGTGTTCTGTGAAAACACAAGGACACTTAGCTTTGAGTGAACTCATGTGCCAGGGCTCAAAATACCACCTGCATAGAAATATCAGCAGATTAGTGCAGGTAAATGTTATAATTCCAGAAAAGAAATAAGCTTAAAGATATTTCAGTGCTTTTTAAAAATATTTTTGACTTGATTTAATCGATAAGATCATATGATGTGAAAAGCAGACAGCTATAAAATTACAGTTTTTCTGACTCAATAGAAATGCACTTTAGTGTGGGACTTGGTATGTCCAATTAATATGTCACTAGCTAAAGGCCTTTCTGTATTCAGACGCAATCTAATCAACAAAATCATATGTTCAGTTGTACATTTGTACATTTGTATAGTTGTACATATGTACATTTGTGAAAAGCAGGCAACTATAAGATTACATTTTTTCTCACTCCATACAAACACTTTAATTTAGTCTAGGACCTGGTAAGTCCAATTGATATAAGCCCATGTGGAATAACTCATGAATACTATACCTGCAGTGCTATCTGTATGAATCCAGCCACAACAAAAGCTCCTGCTGCAAAGGTCATACCGGCACACATCCTCTGTAAGGGCCTGGCAGATGTTCAAGATAACACAACATTCAGATCAAGCTTAAACTATTGGCCAAAGCAAAATTATCAGGCATTTTTTGCAAGAAATTTTTGTGACCAAACTTAGTCTAGTTACTACATCAATGACACTAGCCTCCAGGCAGATTTTTGGAGGCTGCAAAGATAGTATCAAATTGAATAGGATGTATCCATTTGGCAGACAGTTACAAATTGCAACTTGCAGATTCAAGTACAAAAGGAAATCCTGATAAAAATGCCTACTGTCGAAAACACATAGATTATGATGAAAGAGATCTTTTCCAAAGTTTCTGTTAGAATGAAAAGAAATTACGAAAATGAAATAGGTATACAAATTTTTAGTAACAGTGCATGAATAAAGATATGATTTTTGTACCTGTTGGGGATCTTGCATTTGTCCAGAATTGGGTAGATCGCTCCCTCAAATATGGGGATGAGGATCAAAATCAGAGCTGGGTTGACGAACTGAAAAATAATGAAATATTTCAATGAAATACATGATAAAATTTCTTGCCACAAGTTGAAAAGTAAATTCTAGAACACAACGAAATTGTTACTCCAGGAACGGGATAGGTTTTGAAAAGTGTCACAGGTGTTTTGAGTAGTATCCACTACTTTGTTTAAGTGACTGAACAAACTATAGAACATTTAAACAGCTCCAAAACATACCTGAATCTGATCTGGCTTCATCTTGCCAAGAGGTCCCTGTTGGGTAAACAGAAAATGGTATAAAAAAAAACAGCAGCAAGATAAATACAGGTTAATAAAGGTTGAAAAAAGACTACAATTGTGTCATTGGCACTCCATATAGTTCTCAAATGGAAATTTCTTTAATCGTCAGCAAAACTAAAAGATAATAAAGAGGAGTCGGAGAGAAGAAAAAAGAGAGACAGAGAGACAAGAAGAGAGATAGAGGTAGGAAGAAAGAAATATAGAAGAATTCAAGAAAGAGAAAGGTAGAAATATATAGAGAGAATATATAATGTACAGATGCTATATTGTAGATATAAAAAAATTCTGTAAATCCATGTGCTTACCAGGTCATAGTTCATCCTGTACGCCTGTAGTGTCCACCGAGATCCCTGGAGTTTGTAAAAAGATTTTTCAATAAGTTGACATTTATGTATTATTAGCTCTTTTCTTCAAGACTAAACTAATAGAGCATAAAGAATATGTTTGTGAGCTGTTTTTTGTGTTTGTATGACCCCTGGAAGATTAGCCCCCTTTAAAAAACTAAAACTATGAATGTTTAAGTCCCAGACTTGACTCACTTGTTGGTCGAACAGAGCCCAGAAGACAGGCAGAGGGATGTACATGTACAACACGTGCAGCATGAACTTGATGTCACGAACCAGCTTTTTCTGTAGAGGAAATACACGCAAGTTACAAAAGGGCAGAAATAACTGGAAAGGTATGTTTGACTGGCGTTCACACATAGGACAAGCCTATTCTTGGTGCTGGGTACACACATTCAGTACTTACAAAGTTGCCAACATTATTATGTTTACCTTTGCAGAAAGAAAACGACTTGAACCAGACATCTGTCACCATCGTAACTGGTGTTGGGATACATCATGTTGCAATTTTATACCCCCACATATTCGTTAATTCTTACTTAAACATATTGAATTTCATATATATGATGACAGGAGGTTAAATCCCTCCTGCTATAAAATTGCAACATGATGTAACCCAACACCAGTTACGATGGTGACAGATGTCTGGTTCAAGTCATTTACCTTACTTATTTGGAGAAGAAGAAGAGGAAGAAGAAACAGAGCAAAAACAATATGTTTTCCTTCTGCAAAGGTAAACATAATAATGTTGGTAACTTTGTAAGAACTGAATGTGTGTACCCAGCACCAAAGATAGACCTGTTCTATGTGTGAACGCAGGTCAGCACCAAGGACAGGTCTTTTTGGTACGTGTATATTTGAAACTTTCTTCTCATACCGCTTTGCAGACTTTTCAATCTGAATTGCTGTCATTTACAATTAAAAGAAGATATTTTAACAGCATACAGTTTAGATGATTATCATTGAAACATCATCTGCCTTTTTTAACTTTGAATTCACCTCAAATCATTTTTATTAGGCAAAATGGATGTCTTACATGAAGTGAATTCAGATTTCAGGTCACTCTAACTTCCAACAATTAAACTGGACAATGGAGCAGTAACGTTAGTAAAAGTAATGTATCAACATGGCTCTATCACATCTATCTGACATAGGCATACTAACCTCGTATATGGTAGTGTCACAGTAGTCCATCCAGTGGTCTCTCTGCTCACCAGACTCACGGTTCCACCGGTTCTTAACCGCGTTCTGAACAAGAAACAGACGGAAAGGTGTTGAATAAGGATATAATAAATTCAGTACTATGACAAAAGGTCTTAAAGAGAAGTAATGTTTCATGTATATGGTTATTGAGTGATTTCTTAGCTGAGTGCATGCAGTATAATGAAATAATTATTTGCATCTTATGATTTGTGTACTTTTCTTCAGCGTGACTGCTATGAATGCTCTTCTTCCCAAAGGATATTGAACATACTGTCCAAATTCTCATGTATACAAAGAAAAAAATCAATGTTTTGGTAGTTGTCTACAATTTTGACTGATACAATTTAAGACAAATTGCTAAACTGTTGCTTGAAAACTACATGTACAAGTCAAACATCTGTATGCTAATCTGTTTAAAAAATTGCTGAACAGTCCTACAACATGAGTCTAACATTGATGCTATTGCATTTGTAGGGAATAGGGACTACATGTTAACTAGTTGTAGAAGTATCATGATGATCATGATCAGAATGCATAGTTTAAATGTATGTCTAACGAACTCAGTCACAAGACTCACCCCGATGGCCTTTGACACCAGCACGACAACGTTTCCTTGTGGCGGGTTCCTCTTGTAGAAGGGGGTGCCGACAACAAACAGAACTGCATAGGCAAGGAATGATGGGTATATTTGTAAAAAAAAATTGCACCATACAAGCACTACTCTCTGAGCTGATAGGGCAATGATTAACAATGTAATATTCCTCACTGTTAACTTACATGACAACATTGTATATTAGTTCAAATATAATCGAGACAAGACACCCATGACATATATGATGACTTCTGTAGGAAATAGTGTGCTTGAAAGTATTATGTTAACATTCAATGTAAAATAACACAGTCTTACCAGTAACTTAAAAGCTAAATTTGAAGCAAATGATGGCAAAAGGCTTCAAACATGCTATCGTTGTAATAGAAAAAAATTGACTTACTTGTTGCGACCACCATAAGAATAGCGGGAACTCCGAAGGCCAGAGGGAAACAGTCAGCTCCATAGCACTGGACATCGTCTGTAGGTGAAGCGTTGTATTTGTTTATTTATTTGTTTATTTTTTGATTCAGGCCAACGGCCCATATAAAAAAGGAGGACAATAACAAACATAAATGTTTTTGTGTATTCATGTGTTGACTGATTTATTTGATGCCCTTGTGGAATTATAAACCTGGCTTGAATTTAACTTTTCTTGACAAATGTTTTGTTATTTATAGAATGTTTGACATGTGTATATCTTTTGACATGTTTACTGGATGCCTTTGTGGGATTAAAAACCTGGATCAAAGTACTAAACTTTTGGACGTTTAATGCAGTCAACGATACACTGTTTTCTTATTGATAAAATGTTTGCCATGATACGGGATTGGCAAATAAACATGTTTTTTTTATAAAAATTGTTTTCATTGGATGTCCCTATAGAATGAATACCAAAAAGACATTAGCTATTGGAATGATTTGGTAAATGATACACTATTTTACTTAACACTTAACACTTGGCATATCAGCCAAGATTTGATGTGACCATTTCTGCACCTTTCAGTCCACTCTTATCTATGAGTAGCCTTGGACTATCAGGGTCGAGTCTTCAACAAATCCATTAACGGAGGCCACACATGAGTGCGTTATCATATAATTAGCAAACCATGTGGTCCACTGAGTGGGTTGCATGGGGGATCGTGGCAACGTCTTACGGTATTATCTAGGAGTGCCAATTGTTAGAAAAAAACGCTTAATAGTAAATTCAGCCAGGCCAGCAATGGTTACCAGTAAGTTAAGTTGTTCTTGTGTATGGATGCATTGTAATGTCTGGTAAAACTATGCTATGACCTTGGATGCCCTGTTATGATTTTAGGTAAATTATATGGTGTTCAGGACTATGCCATATGAAGAATTTTTAAATACTACTTAACGATGAATGTCATGTTTTGTGGAATTAAACGACCAATTTTGCTTGACACGAAGACTTTCCTGACAACATTTTACGTTGAATTATAGCAGCCAGCTACATAGCAAATAACAGTAAATTAAAATGGCTCTCTACGCATCAAGTAAAAAGGCATGCAGACCCCTCGTAAACAACTAGGACCATGTTTACTTCTAACTCCTGCCTAATAGTATACGGTAGCAAATTTCAAGTGCTGTTGAACTCTTCACCGGACTGGTTGCTCAAAGTCCATGTGAACCACCTCAACTTTGCCTGCCCTTCTGTGGTATGTGTTGACTCTTGGTAAGTCTGGTCAAAAGGCATTTGTGTAGCTATTAAGCCATTGAAGGCTATAGAGGAATGTTATTTACAATATTATTCATCCAGGTGTAGCCAGACTTTAAGCTGTGATAAGATTATCGATTGACTCAAATTCAATGTTGCACATTGTATACATGTAGGGCAAGAAATCTTGGGGGATTTAAATGGATTGCCAGTAAACTGGGCTGAACCACTTACCCCTAAGCAGAGGGGTGACCAGGGTAGAGATGAGACTTCCAGCATTGATGGCAAAGTAGAAGATGGAGAAGAACATCTGGACTTGCTTTGTCTGTGGATGAACAGGAGAAAAATAGTCTATATCATATATACAGTATTCAATGTATATTGCAAGCTACAAGAAGTACAATGATAAACCAAAGAAATCCAGTCTGACTTATTTTCTACATATACATACAGTTAGAAACTGACGATAGCCGTGTTATGCTACATGTTTTGATGTATGGATTTTTTTAAAACTATTCTATTCTAGCTCTTAGTTTTCTCCTCGCCTTACTTGTCGAATTAGATGCAAACCAGACTTAGATGAGCATTAGCTTTTTAGTTCTAGCCAATATCTAATACTGTTACCACTGTTTATATTTCGTAATGTTTACCATTTGTTTCTTATTTACAATTAGCTCTTAGGCTAAAAGTGCGTTTGCAATACACAGTTACAACAGGCTAGGGTTGAATAGATTTTATAATAAGGAACCTTTACCTGTCCATCCTTGAACTGGTCCCCCCCGAAGGCTGACACACATGGTTTGATCCCGCCCGTTCCCAGGGCAATCAGGACCAGACCAATCATGGCGCCCGGTCTGTGGAAAAATAAACCCAGTAACAAAGTCAGTAACATTCTACTACAGCACGACATGTACTAATTACTATAGGGTATCTTTATAGGGTTCTGAATTGGTTCTATTGTTTGAATAGTATGTTCTTTTATTCAAAACCATTTGTTTTACATCAGCTGACATTTCGATGACCGTCTGTCATCTTCATCAGGGCTAATATGACTGTTTTACTCTACACTACACTCTACTCTACACTACACTCTACACTACACTACACTACACTACTCTAGGTGTTACATGATTCACTAGACTAACTCCAGTGCACAAGGCTCCAGTGCAGAGTGAACCAGCCATAAGCCATATAGCCCTGATGAAGATGACAGGCGGTCATCGAAACTTCGTCTCTTGTTAACAGAATGGTTGTGAGTAAAAGAACTCAACTATCCAATCATATCATTCACCAACCTGATGAAATTATCTTACGGTTGGTTCTATTGTGTTGATCGTATGAGACATTGTCTTTGGTTTGTGTCATGTGAAGATTATGTTGATGATAATGAAATGAACTGGTTCATGCAGTGATATTGACATGGTTGACTCTGTCATGCATTAGTGATGATGGTGGAACACACTGAGCCATGATCACACATTCAACTGTACTTCATGATATTTTGCATTGAAACTGTTCAATTGTAACGTTACATTATCAGTTTCTGCTCTTCATAATTATAACTTACATTGTTTTTTTCGTAGTAACAAAGTTGTATCAGCAATATTTTCACATTGTTCTGATGCAGCCTTATAGTTCCGAACTGAAATCTTAGTCTTCTTGAAGAAGAGAAAAGTTTTCTGAGTTGTTGGACCTTTTAAGCCCAAAACCACGTTAAACTTAACTGTAGTTAAATCATTAGTTTCCACATGTTTTTCGAGTAAAAGCCATGCCTACTAGAAATACCGGTAGTTTTACGTTCTTCTGAAAACATATCGTCATATTGTTGCTGATGTTTCTTTTTTGTTGGTCGATTTTAGGTTGACCAAAAATGATGATTGCAAACCATAGAAACGCATTTTATATAATTTAGTAATAATGACGCTCGGTACCTTTTTATACATCAATCATTCATATAATGGTAAGAGCAATTCAGGACCAAACGACCATGGCCCTGCCATTCTGTACAATAAGTGACGAATAACGAATAAACCATTAGTATCATTAATATTATTATCATAAACGACGTTTGGTTCTAGATGAAGGCAGATAACTTGCAAACGTGGTCAAAACATCATGAAGTACAGCCTGATATTTCGTGCAGGTGACGATTATGGCAAACAGCTTGTGCAGATGATGATGTGCAAATAAATCGGTATCTCATGACCATTATCATGATGTTTGTATTGTTTTATCTAATAATGATTGTTTACCTAAAATGATTCAAAATGAATATCATGATCACTAACAATGATAGTTGGCTTGATGAGTTGATGATATTGTGTTGATATGATCTCAACTGTAATGACTGATGCTGTTGATGTCAATTATCTTAACAATTAACTGTACATTGAATTGATGATATGTTCATGGTAATGTCAATGATTTTGTGCATTAAATGTGTTGTTTGTGATGATGTAGATGATTGTAAGAATGATTTTCCATGCACACATTTTGCACGGAACGACCACAATGACTGGAATGAGACATGCAAATCTCTTCACCCACTCAACATTGACACTGGTCAGTAGTTATAGGCCACACTGAGTTAATTTTTTGGATGACATCCACGCGCGCATTGATTTTCGCCTATTCTAAAAAAAAAGATCACGTTGCCTGGCTCTAGGCCTGGGTAGTCCACGGTAGTTAGCGACAGTACGGAGCCAGTGGTAACCCTGGAGGATGGCACCGATGGCACCAAAGCTCCACGACTCAAGAACTCAATACATACGTACAGTGCCGATTCATAAATTCCACAAAAAGCCAGCGTGTGCCGGCTTGTCGTGTACGTCGCTATGTACTGCTGGAAATTCACAATACCAGCTTTGTATTCTTGTGGTCTGGTAGCATTTTTATTTTTTTGCCGGAATTTATTTTTATTCACCCGCGCGCACTAATTTGGGGGTCTTCAGAGGATGTCATCCATAAAATTAAGTCGGTGTGGCCTTATGATCGGACATGCAGCAATGATTGGCCACGCAGCAACGGCTAAGCGAGATGACTAGGGTACGAGGGGACGGCCTGCCCAAATCTTCCTGATCACTTTTCGGCCGTGTCCCAAGATGTACCCTCACAGACTTACATGTTTGAATCTGGCGAGACTCCGTAGAACGGGTATGGAGGAGCTCCGAAGAGAGAAGAAATGGACAAAACAAAATTGCCAATGGCGTAGAGGATGGAGACCGACACTATAGTCCTATGAGGTGCAAATGAGTGAAAACATATGGAATGATGTGCGATGGCAGAAGCAAGCATGTACATATAACAGTCTTCACCAAACCTGTTCGCTATGCCATTCGTGGGAAGCAATGTATTTTCTTTTTTGTCTGGGACAAAGGGAGCATCATTGAAAGAATGATATTAGAATGATGATCTTTAGAATATAATGATGGTCTTAGAATCTTAGAATAATGGTCTTAGAATCTTAGAATGATGGTCTTAGAATGATGGTCTTAGAATCTTAGAATAATGGTCTTAGAATCTTAGAATAATGGTCTTAGAATGATGGTCTTAGAAACTTAGAATAATGGTCTTAGAATCTTAGAATAATGGTCTTAGAATCTTAGAATAATGGTCTTAGAATCCTAGAATGATGGTCTTAGAATCCTAGAATGATGATTCTAGAATCCTAGAATGATGATTCTAGAATCCTAGAATGATGATTCCAGATTTCATTGCCACAGAATGTAATCTACCGACGAACAGGTTTGGTCAAGACTTGCAAGCATGGTCTGGCAGCCCTGGTGATGAGTGACTGTCGTTACTTTAGATACGTACATCTTGCCTGACGGCGACGGTCCGCGGAACGGATACGGTTCTGGTCCGACAAGATCTGACAGGGACATAATCAGATGCCCGAGACAGTAGACAACTGACACCGACACTATTGTCCTGGATTAGGTATACATTCATTGATGGGAGAGAAAATAGCATCATCCAAAAATCAAATGCATTCGTATAATCACCATCTATATCCTCAGGAATGTTTTTTCAATTAGTATTTCTATTCTCATTAATGTTTTTCAAAAGCGAGATTCGTATTACATCTAAAAACATTGAATGGCATCATTGAGGTATTGGTTGATCTATTAACATCATATTTCATCAAAGTATTGTATCGTTTAGATCCATTTGAATTGAATTGAAGGCATTAAAATGATCTTCTGGATTCGTAGGCATTGGTCGTTGTTTGTAGGCATTGGTCGTTGTTTGTAGGCATTGGTCGTTGTTTGTAGGCATTGGTCGTTGTTTGTAGACATTGGTCGTTGTCTCTGACATTGAGTAAAGAAATTTAAAGATTAATACTGATGACCGCTCTGCTTCGCTGCACTTTATACCAACACTGAAAAAAACAAGTAATAGAGAATTAAAGAATGGATCTATGAACATCTGTGTGCATACCAGTACTTCCCAAGCCAGCTGTCTGCCATGATGGCGCCGAGGATGGGAGTGAAGTAACAGCCGAACGTGAAGGCGTGGTAGATAGCCGTGGACGTGGAGTCATCGAACAACAACGCTTCCAGAAGGTAGATCGTCAGGATGGCTGCAGACAAAAAGAAAACAAGAGCTCCCATTAACGTACAACGAAGAATAACTAGAAAGGGTAACATTTGCAAAGCAAATGCATAATGTTTACCTTCGCATATGGTCTGCTCTGTTAATTCTTACTCAAACACATTCACATATGTGGTGACAGGAGTCTAAATCCCTCCTGCTATAAAATTGCAACATTATGTAACCCAACACTAGTTACCATGGTGAGAGACAGTCTGGTTGACCAGGTCAGGGGTCAGTGTTTGGAACAAGAAGAAGAAAGAGCAAAAGCAATATTTTTCCTTCGGTAAACATAAATACTATTCTATGGGATATACGTTGACGTTTACAGCAAATGAAGACACAAAAAAGCTGGAAAACTATGTTATTGTCGTTCCATGAAGTAAATCTTCAGGATTGCGGCAATTATAAAAGAAAGCAAAACATCCGTGGACAGGTTTACTTGGTCAGATATTGGAAATCCGTTAATGAACAAACAAACAAACAATAAACAAACTTGGTTGGTAGTTCTAATGCACCTAGATGTCGTATGAAGTAGAACAGTAAGTATTGCAGTAAGAAGTGTCTCCCTATACTGACCTTTCATGCCGTAGAAGGAGAACCTTTCACAGAACTCGTTGCCGACGATGAATCCGATACACTTGGGGAATCCGCGAAACTTATCGCAAAACTGAAATACATGAAAATCAAGTTGAAATGTATTTGCGGATAAATTAAGAGACCTTGCAAAGAATCTGCAGAAAGTCTTTTTTCTATGGAATACGCTGTAAAGATTGTAAGTTATGCTGAGGTCACGTATTTCTAAACCAGGGCCCAGCCGGACAGACATATGGAACGAAAAGTATGATATGAAAGGCAACAAAGCATAAAAAAGTAATAATGGGGACTATTTGCGTATATTCTTGATATAAAATTGTTTTTAAATGTGATCTCAGCATTAACACGACGAAATACTTAGAACAGGACTCCCTTCCAGTATTGAAGCTTGTTTGCCAAATTGTTGTTTTTCTATTTCAAGATAGAAGCTTTGCTTAAGCTTTTTCTTTTAAAAACGTCAGGTAAGATCAGTGTGCTTAAATGTTTAAGTTTTCGTAGCTTTATAAGGTCGGATGGGAGAATGTTGTGCTCTGAAAAGAAGGAACGAAATCGCAATTTGCAGCAAAAAAAAGTTGAGAAATATTGTTACAAAAAAAATGTTGAGAAATATTTTTACCAAAAAAATGTTGAGAAATATTTTTACAAAAAAACGTTGAGAAATATTTTCTTTACCCCGCCCTCCACCTCCTCATGGTCCATTTTAGTCTTCTCGTCGTTTTCTCCGCGTCCCATGGTGATGACGTCAATCAGTCAGGATGTGTTTCAGAAAACAATGTCAGTTGTTTAGTAGAGTTTCCTGAAAATAAAAAAAAATCTAATTATCTTAATGCTAAAATCTTAAATCACAGTGATTGTGTCTTACATCCAGTGCGCCATACGGAAGAAGTCTTGGTGGTCTGGTCTAGTAGCTTGCTGCAAAATGAGGCAATTTTTTTTCGTAACAATTTTTTTTAATGCCAAGATCGAACTGAATTTTTATTCTTTCCATATATATGCTTACATACATATCCATAATGTAGAAATCAGTGCTGAGAAATCCAAAATGGAATACCTGAAAAAGTTAATTTCTGCAACCAAAAAAGTTCCGATAATTCAACAAAGTTAGCTGTAAGCGGCTCTCATGGCACACCGTCAGCACATTGGGTCTACTCAGCTACTTGAACACTGTACCTGGTCATACGGTACCTCAGGCTAGTGGGGGGCGTGGCCAAGGGGAAAAGGGCTAGTGGGGGGCGTGGCCAAAGTACACTAACTACCAGACGTCTGGCGCCCGGATTTCCAACAAGTGTACGTGACAAACCGACGACTACGATGTTTTTTCGGTTGTATTGCCTTATCATGTTTAAAACATGGTCATTCTCGCATTACTCTTTTAAACTCTGTGATATGTAGTATATAAAGAAGCTATTGCATTTGTGCGGTCTATTCTGATGGTGAATTTTGCTGAAACTTTGATGAAAAATTTTTCGTTGTACTTTCGTTGTAAAAAGCTAGGATGGGAGAATGTTATCCTGTGAAAGGAAGGAACGAAATCGCAATTTTCAACCCAAAAAAGTTGAGAAATATTTTTACAAAAAAATGTTGAGAAATATTATTTTTCGTTGTACTTTCGTTGTACTTTGTAATTTTGCTTTCGTCACCATATCATGCTAAAGATATGAATCTATAGTTCATTTTCTCTCGACACCTTGAAACACTGTGCTATCTACAATATAACGAACCCATAACATGTAATGTGTTCTATCCTGATGGCGAAATAAAGGTGTTACGTTGTACTTCAGTCAAGTCAGACAGTCCATTTTTTAATGTTTTCCTCAACATATCATGCTCAAAATATACTTCTATAGGTTATTTTTCCCACTTCCAATCCCCGTGCTATTTAAAATATAAGAAAAAAGATAAGCTTGTGCTTTTTCTTTTTTCCACTAATACTATTTTTCTTCATCATTCCTTACTTTTGCAATTCGAGTTTTGATTTTTACAGCTCATGTTAAGGTTTATAAAAATTATGATGTGGCATCGACCAGTCGGCGATGTGGCATCGAAAGGCGACGACCGTTCTGAAAGACGACGACCGTATGAGACGGAAATTTGCCGGGCCGGCCCGGGTGTCCTACCAACCCGGTTATTGCCCGAATGACCCAGTGACGCGAGGTCACCGCTCCAAGCGACAGGCTACGCCCCAGCTCTATATGTACAGCTGTGGTCAGTCTTTGCGTGGGTCAGCCTCGATAAACGTGTGTTTCCACAGGTGCCCAAATGACCATGTCAGTACCCACCACGACACTTGTATCCCGAGCAACAAAAGGTGAACAAATTTACCCTGAGGGCAATAAATGACAATCCCTTTATGAAGCTTGCACAGCCGTGAACGAACAGGTATTACACTAACCGCAGGTGTGGGGAGAAACAATAGGGCAATACTGGCAAGAATTTCATTAAGACCGCAAATTTGATGACAAGGGACACTTATAAAACACAAGATAACCTCAAGGTGTCGCGGACTTGTGTGATGTGAAAGGTAAATCTAAGGGTAGTAGGTGAGAACAACCGTAGTAGGCTTACGTCCAAGGTCATCGTTAACCTGGTATCCAGTCTACCGTAGTTGGGGCAGGCTGTCTTCGGGGCTCTGATAGTTTTCCCCCGCCCAGTACAACAGACCGCCCGGTAGGACCTTTGCTAATCGTGGTGGGCCTAATCAAACTCCGTGAAAAAACTACCGGGGGAACCTAGCTCAGGCGGGCGGGGAAGAGCTTCATAAGCCCCGAAGAAAACTCGCCCCAACCACGATAGACTGGATACTGGGTTAACTCATCGTGTGATTTTGGTAGCCTCCGTAGCAGGCTTATAGAACTGGGGGTTTGGTGGTCTTCGGCTGTTTTCTGATTAGCCCAGTTCTAAAAAATGGGGGTAATTCAACCAGACCGGCTATGTTGTCTATGATCAGAAAATAGCAAATAAAAGCTCCGAAATACCCCGAAGACCCCCAAACCCCCATTTTTGGCGTGCTATGGCGTGTACATGTGTTCAGAAATGGTATGATTTTCGGTTTCAAAGGTTAGATGGTTATAAATAGTATACAAAAATATGGTTATCAGCAATAATGTGCACCTTTGACATCTTTATATATATACGGGCTAGACATATTTCAACGTGGCTGTCTGGAAAAAAGTGAACTTTTGGACTTTGAATCTTTTGCTACTCAGCAAAAATACCTATCAAACTCTTGGAAGCGCCTTATCTTATCTTTTTGACCCTTCTATGGGTTGTCCTGCTCACATTATCATTGTTCAAACTCTTAAGATGCCCCCTATCACTACAGACCGTCTGTCATAGTTATATAAACTACACACCGAATCTACAACATTTGTTGGTTTTTCTAGGATTTTTTATACAATATGAAGCGACAGGGCGAAAAAAACAGACCTAGGCATCCTATGATAACCGCAAATGCTGTGATAGGAGCCATGAAGTCAACATACCAGGTTGGTTCGTAAATCAAACAATGAATTCAAACTTTTAACCAAACCACTGCATTCACAGATGGAAAAAAACTGTAACAACTCTGAAGAGAAGGGACTTTCTTAAACTATTGGGGCCAAAATATGAGCATTTTGGAGTTGATTCAGAGGCTTAAAGGTTTTTTTCTTTTTAAATCAGAAAAATTAAGAGGGCGAATCCGTGAACCAACAGATTGAATTTGTGTGGCCTTAGGGTATATAGAGACTGGTGTTGGTGAAATTACTTCCATTCTAATGATTTTATGACACCAATTCTCCCTCCAACACTAACATTTTGTGTTTAAACACCGATACTTTGTGGACAAAGGTTTTAATGAAAATTTCGCTTATGATACCCATAGCTTAGCTGTACTGAAGAGCACTTGTCATTAGTTTTATTTGTGTAATCAAGTCATAAAACACATCCACATCTTCTTATCAATAACGACTACGTCAAAATACATTTTCCGTTGATGTTTTTCAACCGTAACGTGCCCAAAAGACAATTTTGATCTACTTTCCTACTAACATTACACTCATAAGTTTAAACGGTGAATAGCCCATTGCTACTCTAATAAAAACAATACTAGAGCTGTTTACGTTTCTAAGTTATTGTGGTTACCACTATTTTGTGTGTAAGCATAATTGCGGTTAGTTGAGTGCGATTCTCAGCTATAATTCACACATCTTTTACGTTCCCTAAACATCTTTTCTAAGCTCAGAATTGGTACACATTGTGAAGGATTTATTGCTCTAACTTCTCCACTGTCTATACGATACAGAACAACACTATGTTGCTATTGTGGTTACCACTATTTTGTGTGTAAGCATAATTGTGGTTAGTTGAGTACGATTCTCAGCCACAATCTACACATCTTTTACTTACCCTAAACATTTTTTGTGTGCAGGCATAATTGTGGTAACTTGAGTACGGTTCTCAGTTACAATTTATACATCTTTTACTTTCCCTAAACATCTTTTCTAAGCTCGGAATTGGTTCAAGTTTCTGAAGGATTTATTACTCTATCTTCTCCACTCTCTATACGATACAGAACAACGCTATGTTGCTATTGTGGTTACCACTATTTTGTGTGCAAGCATAATTGTGGATAGTTGAGTACGGTTCTCAGCTACAATTGACACATCTTTTACTTTTCCTAAACATCTTTTCTAAGCTCAGAATTGGTGCAAGTTTTGAAGGATTTATCACTCTAACTTCTCCACTCTATACGATACAGAACAACACTATGTTGCTATTGTGGTTACCACTATTTTGTGTGCAAGCATAATTGTGGTTAGTTGAGTACGGTTTTCAGCTACAATTTACACGTTTTTACTTTCCCTGGACATCTTTTCTACGCTCGGAGTTGGTACACATTGTGAAGGATTTATTACTCTAACTTCTCCACTTTATACGAAACAGAACAACTCTATGTTGCTATTGTGGTTACCACTATTTTGTGTGCAAGCATAATTGTGGTTAGTTGAGAACGGTTCTCAGCTACACTTTACACATCTTTTACTTTCCCTAAACATATTTTCTAATGTCGGACTTGGTATAATTTGTGAAGGATTTATTCCTCTAAATTGTCCACTCTTCACGATACAGAACAACGCTATGTTGCTATTGGGGTTACCACTATTTTGTGTGCAAGCATAATTGTTGTTAGTTCAGTACGGTGCTCAGCTACAATTTATATGTCTTTTACTTTCCCTAAACATCCTTTCTAAGCTTGGAGTTGGTGCAATTTGTAAAGGATTTATTACTCTAACTTCTCCACTCTATATACGATACAGAACAACGCTATGTTGCTATTGTGGTTACCACTATTTTGTGTGCAACCATAATTGTGGTTAGTTGAGTACGGTTCTCAGTCACAATTTAAACTTCTTTTACTTTCCCTAAACATCTTTTCTAAGCTCGGACTTGGTGCAATTTGTGAAGGATTTATTACCCTAACTTCTCCACTTTATACGATATAGAACAACATTATGTTGCTATTGTGGTTACCACTATCTTGTTAGATGAGTACGGTTCTCTGCCACAATTTTCACATGGTTTACTTCCCCTAAACATCTTTTCTAAGCTCAGAATTGGTGCAAGTTCTGAAGGATTTATAACTCTAGCTTCTCCACTCTATACAGTACAGAACAACGCCCCTCTCATAGGTTGTCAACGTGGGAATTCAGACAAAAGGTCGCTACTCTGGTTTTTGGATCATTGCCCAAACTGCCTGGCCATTAATCAGGTAACATAATGGGGATTTAGCGAGTTGGCAGGGGCGAAAGGACACGT